GCACGATGAGGCGAAACTGATGCGCGGCACGAGGCTCGAAGCGGCGATATGGGTGCTCGGCGCGGGGCACTTGTCGACGTGGAAGCTCGGAACAAACCGCGGCGCGATATGCACGGCGGCTGGCTGCGCAAGAAAATCAGCAGGGGTAGGCGGCAGCTCGACCCTGGGCATGGCGGCGGCAAATTTATTGGAGTGGTGGGCATTCATGATGACCCTGGACGCGCGCGCGGCGGCGCGCAGGACCGCGGGCGGCTCGATGCGCCCAGGGGCGGAATTGACGCGGGCTTGGCCGTGATCTTCCTGGGGCGTGATCATGTGCTTGCGTTTCGTCTACTTGGGGGCGGCTTGTTTGCGGAAGTAGTGTCTGCTCTTGTGGCGCATGTGGGCATGCGTGTCATCTATCTGCGACGACGGTGGGCGGCTCCACATCGGCATCGCGCCGCTGAGGGGCACGGCGAGGGTTAAGCGCGCCAGGCGGCTGACTCCGCGCCAGCAAAGAACGGCTGGAAGGAAGTGAGGATATTGCCTCGGTCGATGGACTGGCGCTGCGGATTGTCGAAGGCTCGCTCGTTCCACTGGGGGGTGGGCGGGCCCGCCTGGCCTGGGATAATGATTTCGACGACGGGCATGGAGTCGCAGTGGGTCTCTCCATTGGTGCGAAAGGCTCTCCACCGTTGGCGCGGGTAGCGCTGTGCTGATCTGCTTGGGGGACTTGTCAGGGTTGATGTAGATGTCAACTGGCTGGCCTGTGGTGTCAGTCGAAGTAATTCGCTGCCATTGGCCAGATGCATTGCGCATTGCGCGCGAGAGAGCCATGGCGCGGGGCGCTGCGACATCATTGCCTCCTTTAACTTGTAAGGCGAAACGGCGGGCAAGTTCACCGTTGCCGAGTAGTTCCGCACGGTTGGACTGAAGGTTGGCCTCTGCAATCCATTCCTGGAGGTCGTTGCGCACCGCGTTCGGGGCCAAGAGGCGCTGGCAGCCCACGGCGAAGAGCGTCGGATCAGGCTGACGGTCCCATTCGGCAAGGCGATTGAGGTCCGCGACCGGTGTCTGTGCTTCAGCGAGGGCAAGTGTGTCGAGCATCTGGTCGATATGTTGCCGCATTCGCTGTTGTTATGACGCTTGGTGGCCTTGTGCTCTACGGGTGCGAGCGACTTCGTCATGGAGTACACCCGCTCGGCGTTCTGTAGCGGTAACTTGTTGTTGGGCGACAAGGCGAGAACTTTCGCGAGATTCAGCGAGGAGCTGGTCAGCTTGTTCTTGAGATCGAGATGCGGCTGTGGCGACTTGGCGTTGCATGGGCTGGCTCTTGTAGAGCGACGTCAAGATCTTTGGGTCTCCCAGGTAGAGGTCCATGTCGTTCAGGGCGTGCAGGGTGTGACTCTTGTTCAGATCCAGGAGTGGCATGTCCAATGACTGGAGTGGCTGGTGCCGCAGCGGGTTGAGAAGCGATTGTGGGAGCCATTTCGATATCACGCGCGAGTTGCTCGGCGGCTGCAGGCCCCAGCTGCTGCTCGATGCAATTGGCGTTGGCCCAGGGGCCAGCGTCGCCCTGAAGGGGATCATGAATAGCAGGACAATGTGGTGGCTTCTCGATCTCTTCCATGGCTACGGCGGGGGCCTCGGGCGCATCACTTCCTCCTGATATGGCTGATCTGCGGGTCGGTGTCGGTGGAGGGCGTGCAATGCCCCGCCCTGCTGCTCGGGATTGCTGCTGTGGAGCGCCTGCGGGGCCTTGATAGCTGAAGCCTGAGTTGCCACGGTGTTCCAACAGTTCGCGAGCAGCGCGTTGGCCATCTCTACGGGGTTCTTCCCGTCGATGATCTTCGCGGCGTTGGTGGCGGTCCTGTCTGCGGCTGCGGGACGTGGAACCATTGGAGAGGTCGTCCCTGTCGGAAGAAGCGGCGGACACGATGTTGAAGTACTGACAGCAGATATCAGGGTGCTGTTCAGCGATTCGCCAATGGCCAGGTTCACTATACAACCACTGCGTACGTGACAGACTCTCGCTGGTTGGCGCGGAGCAGCACACGTTGGAACGATATGGATGCACGGCACAGGGCTCGATGCGGGTGTATGGATGCTCGACACTGGGTTCGAGACGGTCTCGATGCTCGGCACGAAGCACGCACCGATAGGTATGGCGGCCTGCAACGCCAGAGTGGAAAGCAGGAGTGGACGGCAGCTCGTCCCTGGGTGTGACTGCAAAACAAGTGGGGCTGGCCGCGGAATAGCAATATCCACGCTGCGCTCGCGATGGCGTGCCATCTTGAACCAAAAATGGCTACGGAAGAAAGAGGAGAAGGAAAAGGAGGAGGAGGAGGAGGAGGAGGAGGAGGAAGGAGGAAGAAAAGGAGGAAGATGAGGAGAAGAAGGAGGGAGGAGGAAGGGAGGAGGAAGGCGGAGGAGGGAGGAGGGGGGAGGGAGGAGAGGGGGCGGAGGAGGGAGGAGGAAGGAGGAGGAGGGGGAGGAGGAGGAGGGGGAGGAGGAGGAGGAGGAGGAGGAGGAGGAGGAGGAGGAGGAAGGAGGAGGAGGACGAGGAAAAGGAGGAGGAGGAGGAGGAAAAGGAAAAGGAGGAGGAGGAGGAGGAAGAGGAGGAAGGAGGAGGAAGAGGAGGAGGAAAGGAGGACGAGGACGAGGAGGAGGAAGCGGACGAGGAGGAGGAGGCGGAGGAGGAGGAGGAGGAAAGAGGAGGATTTGTGTTTTGCTCGACGACACTGGGCTGCATGCCGGCATGCATGAGTACGCTGGTGAAGCGTCGCCCATCGGATTGGTGACGTCTGGTCCTGTCCTGTCGGCTATGTAGGCTGGTGCGCACGAGCGGCGCTGCTGCACAAAGCACTCGCGGCGGAGGCAAGCTGCCAGCGAGGACTTCCCCGCGGAGAGTGCCCCCGGGAAACCATGCGCATTCAGGCAAACCTGCGGGCCCAGACGCCCGCCGACATGATGTTGTGCAATTCGCGGCCCCAAAGATGGCGATCGCTTCACAGAAGGTGCCCTTTCCTCCCGGGCCCATTCTTGATGGGCCTGGGGCCCGACAGCGGCCCCCGATGGCCGAAATCAAAGGAACTTGCCGCGACGGGAAAATGATGCAAACCAGCCTGGACCCCGAACGGCCACTTGTTGCACGGTGGGTTTGCAAGGTACGTGGTGCAATTTATCTGGTGTTAGCCGCCTTGCCGAACTTGAGGTTGTCGACTCCACTGCTCGCGCAATCGTCCCACCCACCCACCCGCAACTTGGTTTGCAAAACCCATGCGGAGGCGACGATTGCGATGAGTGCTTAGTGTTGGCTGGTGCATCTTTGCGACCGCGCTCGCCCTCGCATGCTCGCGCGCGCAGCGGCCAGCTAGTTGAGCGCGACCGACGCGAACGCGGTGGCGCTGACCGCTCGGCACATCCCAGCGAACACTTCAGTTCGAGTCGGCGACTTGGGCGAGCGCGGTATCATGGCAACGTCGACAACAGTAGACTCGACGATGATAGTAGCGATGCTGGTGGCGATGACGACGGCACGGCCAGTGACGGCGCAGATGCTGATCACGCCGACGATGATGATGGCGTCCTCGCATCGGTGCGGAAGGTTTGGGAAGGAGTTCGACATGCGCGCGCGACCGACGCGCGATCATGGCCGCATTGTATTATTTCACCCGTGCCCCCCCAGCACGCGCGCAAGTGCGTTCGAATGATTTCGGCATGCGGCGCGACAGGGCCGCTTGGCAGAACTCAGTGACAATGTTGAACAGCCGATGGTTGTCTGACGGATTCGCAAGAACGCGCGCAAGCATTTTTGAAATCATATGTTTTTTGGGGGGGTATGGTTTCGGGACGCTCGGTTTTGAAATCCGTACGAAACCTACGTTTTTTTTTTTTTTTTTTTTTTGATTTTTATTCGACTGGTTTCGGCATGCGCGTGCGACGACGCGCGCGTGTGCACTTCGTATCATTTGTTGCAAAAGGATTATTGCGACAGCGCGCGCGCAAGGGCGTTCGAACGATTTCGACATGCGCGCGCGAAGCCCTTTTGGCAGAATGTTCGGAAAAAGATGAAACACTTGTGGTTTTCCTAAGAGTTCGCAAGAAAGCGCGCGCAAGTTGTTTTTGAACATCCGTGTTGCGAAACCATGTGTTTTGAAATGTGTTCGGGGCATTCGATTTGGAAATTCTTGCGAAGACCATGATTTTTTAAGGATTTCGGCATGCGCGCGCGACGACGCGCGCGTGCGCACTTCGTCCTTTTTTTTTTTTTTTTTTTTTTTTTTTTTTTTTTTTTTTTTTTTTTTTTTTTTTTTTTTTTTTTTTTTTTTTTTTTTTTTTTTACAAGGGGCTTTTGAGAACTGATAACTTTTGATGAACGAGTGCGCGCGCATAGTGTTTGTTGCAACGGGTGGCGGGGGGGGGCGATACTGGCTCGGCTGGGATGGTACGAGTTCATATTCAGGATGGACGATGGGCCAGTACGTAAATTGCACCCCCCCGGGGTACCGATAAGTCTGGCCTCGGGAGGGTGGTGGAGTCATTTCTCTTCAGAAAGGAGATTGGGCGCCCGAGTTATCCAGGGTAACTCGGGTCCGGGGTAACTCGGGTTTGGATTCCCGGAAAAGGAACCCGAGTTAGCCCTGACCCGAGTTATCCCTGATGATTCGGGGCTCTGGACGCCCGAGTTATCCGGGGTAACTCGGGTCCGGGGTAACTCGGGTTTGGATTCCCAGAAAACGAACCCGAGTTATCCCTGACCCGAGTTACCCCTGATGATTCGGGGCTCTGAGGAGAATCTAGGTGGTGCAATATGCGTGGTGCAAGCTAGAGGCGGCCACGGGCGGCAACGTGTAGCGGCGGCCACGGGCGGCAACGTGGCGAAACCATGCCAGATCTCGCCGATTCCTTAGCAGGAAGAATGAGAACACCTAAGTGTAAACACGGTGTGGGGGACATCGTGACATCGTCGGAGGTCAGGGGGAGAACCCCCCACTCTGCGGGACCCTCCGGGAGCCGTCCTCGCGCTCGGCCTCCTCCCTCGCGCTGATCATGGTAGCCTCCCGGCGGCGGAGAGCGCAGCTGGAGGCCCGCGGCGGGCGACGACGACGACGACGACGACGACGACGACGACGACGACGACGGTTCGACGGTTCGGCGGATCGACGGATCAATGGACCGACGACGATCACGACGGCAGCTGTGACGACAGTGGCGACGTGCTGTCGAGCTGGCCCGACGAGCGTCGTGCGGGACATGGGGGGCCCGGCGATGGGGGACAGCCTGGAGGCCAAGTCCTCCTCCTCCTCCTCCTCCTCCCAATTCCCCTCCCCCTCCTCCTCCTCCTGCTCCTCCTGCTCCTCCTTCTCCTCCTCCTCCTCCTCCTCCTCCTCCTCCTCCTCCTCCTCCTCCTCCCTCCTCCCCCTCCCTCCCTCCTCCCTCCTCCCTCCTCCCGCCTCCATCCTCCGTCCTCCGTCCTCCGTCCTCCCTCCTCCCTCCTCCCTCCTCCGCCTTCCTCCTCCCTTCCTCCTCCCTTCCTCCTCCCTGCTCCTGCTCCTCCTCCTTCTCCTCCTCATCGTCCTCATCCTCCTTGTTTTTGCTTTTTGTCATTTTCGGCCTCTGGGGGTCCTTGCCGGGCCTCGGGGCCGTCGAAAAACGACTCGGGATGAAAAACCGGTCCCGGGGAAGGGGTCCAGACCTCTGGGGGTGGACTCTGTGACTAAAATCACCACGTCGGGGGTCTGGTAAAGGCCTGAGATCTGGGCGTTGCATTTTTCACACGGGGCGTTTCGTCCAATTTCGGGCCCCAGGATCAACCATCACAGATCGATCGGCTCGGGAAGTGCAGCAGAAAGATAGGGTTAGGTCGGGCATGTCCCCCTACAGGCGGATTTAGAAGGAACAAACATAAAAAATGCAGAATGCTCAAAAATTATTCAACACATACTTGAACCAGCGTCGCCAGACTATGTTTGGACTCTTTTTGAATATTTCTCCTGTAGGGGGACATGCCCGACTTACAGATAGGGCCTGGGGCTCTGGTCGAGATTTTTCGCGATGCTGTTTGTTCGCAATGTCGGCTCTCGGGGGCACCCTCGCTCCCACCTTAAAGACGAAGCCAAGACTGGAACAAAACCTCTGAACGCCCGAAGCGAGTACGGAAAAATGAATACAATGCCCAACGACAACCCAAAACCAACAGCAGCCGCTGTTGGGCAGGCGGCCTTCTGCCTCAAATGGACAACATCCGCGGCGACGCGGACAACGAATCCTCGGAAATGCCTGAGATCTGGGCGTTGCATATTTCACACCGGGCGTTTTCGCCCAATTTCGGGCCCTGGGATCAACCATCACACAAATCGATCCGGCTCGGGGACTCCAGCCAACATATATCATAAGGATGTGCGATGAGGATGCAGGGGGCGTGGACGCCCATTTCGAAGCTTGTTGAGTGGGGCGCGGCCAACGAAAGTGGCGAAGGATGGACCGAGAAGGCAAGGATATCAGGGTACCCTTGGGAAGGTTGCCCATCCTTGCTATGCAGGCTGACTGTAGTTGGGGGAATCTGCGATTTGGCGGCCCTGGAGGCTGTGCGGGGCGGCGCGGCCGCTCAAAAAGCGCTCCGGAGCGCTCCGAGAGCGCTCTGGAGCGACTCGTCCTGCTGGCTCGCCATCGCTTGGGCGTCCACTCCCCCCGTGTATGTTTCGGCTTCGCGCGCGTAAATTCTTCGCACGAGGACACGAAACGCTCCCCGAGGGCCCTCGCGAAGGAAAAGCGCATACGCCCGAGCGATGCCTGGGACCCCGCCTGGACCACGTCCACCTGGCCCCCCTCCTCGAATGGGGGGGGGGCCGGAGGGGGGGGCACACACCCGCGTGCGCTCCAGATGCACAGGCCACACATCTTTAAGAACCCACTTCAACACGCCACGTGCGTCTCCGGCACTGCGAGAACCCTCCTCCTCCTCCTCCTCCTTCTCCTCCTCCTCCTCCTCCTCCTCCTTCTCCTCCTCCCTCCTCGTCCTCGACTCCTCCCCCTCCCCCTCCCCCTCCGCTCCTCCTCCTCCTCCTCCTCCTCCTCCTCCTCCTCCTCCTCCTCCTCCTTCCTGCGAGGCGGATCCTCGCAGTTGGGAGCTGGAGCTCTCTGGCCCTGGGCGCAGGGACGCGGGCGGGGTGCGGAGGTGCGACTCCTCCTCCCTCCTCCTCCCCCTCCTCCCTCCTCCTCCCTCTCCTCCTCCCTGCTCTCCTCCCTCCTCCTCCCTCCTCCCTCCTCCTCCTCCTCCTCCTCTCCTCCTCCTCCTCCTCCTCCTCCTCCTCCTCTCCTCCTCCTCCTCCTCCTCCTCCTCCTCCTCCTCCTCTCCTCTCCTCCTCCTCCTCCTCCTCCTCCTCATCCTCCTCCTCCTCCTCCCTCCTCCTCCTCCTCCTCCTCCTCCTACTCCTCCCTCCTCCTCCGCTTTCTTTCCCCGACCTGGGCCCACGACCTGGCCAGCAGCATCTTGCCATCGCTCGGACGTCCACTGCCCGTGCATTGTTCGATTTCGTGCGTGTAGATTCTCGCGGGATGATCCGAAATGCTCCTCGACGGTGCTCGCTGAGAAACAATGCACACGCCCGAGCGATGCCAAGGCAACGTGCCGATCGGGGCGTCGACCCCGCGATTTCTGGGTGCGCTCGTCGAGCTCTGATCGCTGGCGTGGGCACCTGCCTCGACATCGTGATTTTTTCTCAATGTCGACCGCTAGAGGTCTGGACCCCTTCCCCAAGATCAACTTTTCATCCTGAACCGTTTTTTGACGCTCCCGAGTTCCGCAAAGGGCCCCAGAGACCGAACAAAACGAAAACCTCCCCTCGTTTGAAGGCCTGGAAATGGGCACCAACACCAACACAGGGGGTTGCCTTCACGGGGGAAGATGATTCCTCGATTTCGGTGTTGGTGGTAAGATTTCGGCCACCTTGGAAGCCAGAAGCATTACCACCATCACCGAGATCGGGATCTTCTTCCCTCGGTGGACGCACACCGCCGATACTGGTGTTGGTGCCAACCTCTAGGCCTGCGACTCGTGCTTTCTTCACAGCGCAATGTCGACCCCCAGAGGTCTGGACTCCTTCCCCAAGATCGGGAAAGGGCCCCCCGAGACCGAACCACGCGAAAACCAGCCCTCGTGTTTTCTTCACAACGCGAGGGGGTTTGAGGTCCGTCGATCGGTCGGTGTGCACCTTGCCCTCCTGGGCCACCGAGCCCAGCAGACGGGCGGAAGGCGAGCGTGCTTGCGGGGGTGGGGTGGGGGGCCCGGGGCCCTGCCCTCTGGCCTGCCCTGGCTTCCTCCTCCTCCGCCTCCTGCTCCTCCTCCTCCTCCTGCTGCTCTTTCTCCTCCTCCTGCTCCTGCTCCTCCTCCTCCTCCTCCTGCTTCTCCTCCTCCTCCTCCTCCTGCCCCTCCTCCTCCTCCTCCTCCTCCTCCTCCTCCTCCTCCTCCTCCTCCTCCGGATGCGCCGTATACTTCGGTCGATTCCGCAAGCAGACAAGAGAGTTCCTTTCTGCCCTAGAAGAAGAAAAACCGGCATCAACATAAACGTTTGGCGCTCCGCGCGGATTTCTTGGATCTGCGCTGGACCCCCCTCCCTGGCGCGTGGAGCGTGTCAAGGGCGGCGCCGAAGGCGCCGACGGGCGGCCCCAGCGCGGTCCCTAGGAATCCGCGCGGAGCGCCAACAATTTATATTTATGTCGTTCTTTCTTCTTCGATACTTTTCAGGCCACTTTGATGTAGCCTTCCGCTCTATTTAGCCGTTGCTATTTCCGCCACGCCCTTGCGGAGAAACCCACCCTACTTTTTTCCCGAGGAGGAAATGTCCACCAGACTTTTTCGCACCTTTGGGGCGCGCTTCCGACGCGATTTCTCGTTGGGAAATCAACCAAATATGGCGGATCCGAAGCCAGGGTGGCCCTGGAGCTCACCCCAAGGCACCCCTGGGCTCGGGGGCAGGCCAACGCTGGGCGCTGGGGCAGTGGTGCCTCGACCGCCTCCGCCAACTTCTTCTCCTCCGTGGGGAGTGGCAGAGACACAAAGACAAAGCCCGCGCGCATGGGTCTGGGTTCGAGGTCAGAGAGCATCAGAGAGCACTAGAGATGCACTGCCGTGAAATGTCAGCTCAGGGTCTGGCGGATGACAAGAATGTGGTCTCAAGGTTCCCCCACTCAATAGTTGAAACGATGCTGAGCAACTTTGCGTTGCTCTCGTACTTCGCGACATCTTCACAGTATAGGAGGGGAGGATGAGGAAGAGAAGCAGGAGAAGGAGGAGGAGGAGGAGGAGGAGGAGGAGGACGAAGAGAAGGTGATGGGAGAACGAGTCGGGATGAAGAGAAAACGAAGGATTGCAATGATCAGTCTGAGCTTCGTACAATGTTAAAGTGGTCGACTATTACCCACAAGAGCGACGAAGGTTTGAAAACACACGGACTGAAGATGGCACGGATGGCTGGCAAGGGGCGATGGACGAGGTACAGATCCGAACGTGCACTTGCACGCTGTACGGGTGGAGCCATAAACGCGAGTGGACGTGCGTACCCACGGGACAACATGCGTCGCGGCTCGCAGACTCGGCTCCCAACACACCTTGGTAGGCGGGGATGGTTGGTGCAATGCTGCAGAAAGGTCCAAGCCAGACGTATTACGACAGGCTGCTCAAGAGCCATCCTGGATCCGAGTGGGGCCCGAGCCAAATAGAGAACGGAGCTCGCCAGATCGCCAGCTCTTGGCTTGCCTACGGATCGGGCTCGCTCCTGGCCGCCGACGCGGCCGTGCCGGCTTGCAACACGCTTTGGGCGCGACGCGCAACACAGCTCGTGAGAGTACGTGCGCCCCATGCGCGCACTTCTCCGCGCCTCCGCTGGGCATGACCATCCGCCCCTGGGTCGCTGCACAACTCCATTGGGAGAACATCTGTTGTTGGGCACTGCACCCTTTCTTACCCGTGCCCATCTCGGGCGTCCAAGGTGTTTTCTTCCAGTTCTGGGCCCATGCCCCGGGGCCGGTTTCTCGCCCCGGGCGGTCGGGGCCCTGGGCAGCCTGCCTCTTCGCGGAGCCTCCGCCGCGTGGCCACTGCGCGCGCGCCGCGGAACGGACGTGGCCTGCCCCGACTCCAGATCCCGCCCTACTTTGGCTTCTTTTCCAACTTCAAGTTGCGTCGGAAATCCACCTAGAAGAGGCCGAATAAGCAGGGCGGAAGTTGCTGCACCCAACAGAAAGTGGGGCGGAGGTCCACAGAGGCAGGGCGGAAACCGCCACAGACAAGTAGGGCGGAAATTGGCATCAGCGGGGCTTGAAGAGTAGGGCGGAAATTCCAAGCCCTACTTACGAAATTCCCCAAAGTAGGGCGGATCTGGAGTCAGGGCTACCTGCCCTGCTGCAGCCGCCGGCGACCGGCGACGCCGGTGCGCGTGGACTTGCCTCGGGGCTGCCTCTCTCTCTGGCCTTGCCTCCAGGCCGGGCGGCAGAGTCGCCCCGTGATGGAGGCCGCGTGCGCCGCGCGGGCCGCAGCCGAATCTGCTGCCGCGGCTGCGTGGGCTGACGGCCTCGAAACTCCCCCCCCGAGAGCGTCAAGGCCGCCAGGCCTCCACCAAGGGGGGAGGGGAGTCCGCGGGCCAGCACCATGCTACTCCCAGCGTTGGCTTGGCGGGGGAACGACGACGGGGCTCCGGCCCACGGGGGGGAAACGTCGACCTGGAACAGGCGACACGCATCGCCGATGGATCGGCGATAGGGGCCCCTTTTGGCGACTCCGCGCGGCCCTGGGCGCGGCGGGCCATCGGGCCCCTCTCGGCGAGGAGTGGGCGGTGGGGGGCCAGTGCGCTCCCCTCTGAGCGCGCCCTCCCGCTGACGTTGCCCCCTGGCTTTCGGCTCACAACTCCGCCCTCCGGCGGCCGCTCGGGACGGCTCGGCTCCCCCCCCCCGGGCCGCTCTCGGCGAGGCGCTGCTGCTGGGAAGCATCCCGGGGCCAGGGGACCGCCGAGCACCGACGAAGACGCCCGAGGAGGCCTGGGACCTCGAGCCCCCCGCCGGAGCCCAGCCTCCCCCCCCCTCCCCCCCCCTTGAGCTTGAGAAGACCTCGAACCTCGACCCCCCTCCCCCCTTGAGCCTGTCCTCTTCCTGGCCATCGCTCGGACGTCCATATCCTGTGCTTTTTTCGGTTTCGTGCGTGGTTTTTTCGCGAAATGATCAAGGATGCTCCTCGATGGTCCTCGCCGAAGGAAACATGCACACGTCCGGGCGATACCAAGCCTCTGACGTTGCCCCAGAGCGCTGGCAAGAGAAGGGCGGAACGGTCTCTGCCTCCTCGGCGGGGCGGGCGCCACGGTGGGCGGTCGGGGGGGGCAGCGGGCCCGCAGGCGCGCCTCGGGACCTGCGCCGCGGAGGCGCGGCAGCGCGGGGGCCTTGTCCATCTGCAGCGCCTCTTCCTGCTCCTCCTCCTCCTCCTCCTCCATCCTCCCTCCTCCTCCTCCTCCTCCTCCTCCTCCTCCTCCTCCTCCTCCTCCTCCTCCTCCTCCTCCATTCCTTCTCCTCCTCCTCCTCCTCCTCCTCCTCCTCCTCCTCCTCCTCCTCTCCTCCTCCTCCTCCATCGCCTCCTCCTCCTCCTCCTCCTCCTCCTCCTCCATTCATTTTCCTTATAGATAGCTTCCCCCTGTCGCACCCCGAGGCCAGTTTTTAGGGCGGGCCGGGCGTTCCGCCCGAGACTCCCTTACTATCTATGACCCTGAAGCTACATTGGCAACAGTTTCGCAGATGGATTGCGTGTCGTTTTCAAAATGTGGCTCTCGCCTTAGCGACGCGCAAATGCTTTTAAACAAAGTTCAAGACCTTCACGGATTGAGGGCGGATCGTTTTCAAAATGTGGCTCTCGCTTTAGCGCCGCGCACATGTGTTTACAAATATTGAAAGAGCTTCACGTATTGAGGGCGGGCCGTTTTCAACATGTGGCTCTCGCCTCAGCGCCGCGTGCACTATTTAACACAAATTAGCAAGAGCTTCACGGATTGGGGGCGGGCCGTTTTCAAAATGTGACTCTCGCCTCTTTTTTTTTGTTGGTTCTTAACCAATACAATAGTTCCATGGACTTCCATGATCAGCGTACCAAGGAATTGTGTTTTGGAAGGATTCAGGATTATGAGGGTGCAACAGTTACGTTGGTTCGTGGTGTTGAAGTCCCAAGAATGGCGTTCAGGCACGATTCAACCTCGTCAAAACGTTACAATCAGGTTGATCCGGGGCGGTGGAATCCAGAGAACATGTTTTGGCATGCTTCAGGGTCTTCGAACAGTTGTCGTCCAACGAGGCAAATCCCTCAGTGGAAATGAACCGTTGTAGGGGTCTATGAAGAGGGAGCTTGGAGAGAGGGTTTATTTCAACATCGTTGATGGCTCTTGGGTTTACACTGGTCCTCCTCCTCCTCCTCCTCCTCCTCGTCCTCCTCCTCCTCCTCGTCCTCCTCCTCCTCCTCCTCGTCCTCCTCCTCCTCCTTCTCCTCCTCCTCCTCCTCCTCCTCCCTCTTCTCCACATCCGTGCCTCCTCCTCCTCTCCTCCTCGAGCGAAGGTGGGGAAACCTTGCTGGCCCAGGGGCATCGTCAAGTCCACCATTGCGCTCGCCATCTTGTGGAGACCCAGGTGGGCGGTGCTCGGACGTCTTCGACATGCTGGACGGGCTATCCTTCCAGTAGTGATCCACCCACAGGGCTTCAACTTACTCACTCTGGTTTGTTATGTCCACCGTTCTCGTCATGCACTGGGGACACATCCGCTCAGGTCTGCAAGGAGAGGTAGCGTGCTTTCAGGTGTACAGCTCCCCTGGATTGTGACAGTGGGGCGTTTTAGCATCCCTGCACCGACCCTCGTTTCCGCAAGTTTCGTCGTGCACATCGGGGCCACGGCTTTGAAGGCTCCCCTGGAGTCTACGTGTATCTGTGTGCCCGAGCGTCGTGAACATCGGGGCCACGGCTTTGGAAGGCTCCCCCAGAGTCTACGTGTACCTGTGCCCGAGGAGCGTGTCGCATTGACTGTGCGCTGGCTTCGCCTGCCGCCGTCCTCTGCGTGGTTAGATTGCGCGCGGTCTAGGACGTCCCCTGGCGACCCCACTGCGGATTAGCTCTGCAGCTCAAGGGCTCACCTCACCACTCCGTCGTTACGCCTTGCCGAACGGTTTTCTCGAGCTGATCGTCCGCAGGCTGCTCCCCAGGCTTGCAGCACGTCCTCCTAAAGCCAAGCTGGAGAAAACTGTCGAGCGGGAGCGGGATCTCCAGAAGCAGGTTGAGCTTTCGACGAAACTGTTGGGGAGTCTCTCGGTCAAGGAAGGTGCTCGCATCTTGGGACCGCCTGCCACCCAAAGCGAGCGCAGGAGCCCCTAGCGACCCGACCCCCGCCCAGCCCCTTTTCCCCTCCTCCAGCGGGCGTCACAGCTGATGCCCTTTGGTGTGAGGGCGAGTCTGACCCGTGGGCAGCCCACCTTTCTGTCCGATGCCAGCGCTAATCTTGTTGACGAAGAAGGTCGACCCTCACTCATTCATCGCAGGACGCCCGCCGTGAGCACGCCTGATACTGATGACTCTAACGTCTCCTCTCGGCCAGGGAACGATTGAAGGACCCCCTCCTGGAAGACCCGGGCCCCGCCACAGAAGGCCAGGGCTCAGCCTGGCACTGCCTCCGATCCCCACTCCTCTGCTGATGCTGCCGCCGCTCCGTCGTGCTCCCTTCCTGCAGAGACGCGGCAAATCGCTGAAGCCGGTCCGGGCGTCCACCAGCACGCGGAGCAGGACGCCTGGGAGCCCCTCCGCGCACCGCTATCATTCCAGTCAGTGGGGCTTTCACTGGCTGGACTGACGGAGTTGAGAGGTGCATCTGGATCCACCATGGTCGAGAGCAGGAGTTGACTAAGCCCACCCCTGCACCAGGACCCAGCCTAGAAGTCCACCGAGCCCAGGAGGGTTCACGCTTGAGGGACGTGCCGTTCTGTGAAGGTGCAGCCACTTGGTGGGCTAGAGCACTGACAT